TATATATATATATATATATATATATATATATATATATATATATATATATATATATATATATATATATATATATATATATGTATGTATATATATATTAGGGCGTTCCAAAAAAATGACTTTTTTGAATTTCAACTAACATTGCTTTTCATAAGGTGCCCCAACCTTGATATTACTAATAATTTTTTTTTTTTATGATTAGATCACTCCATGACTTCCCTCAATGGGTCCAAAGGTCATTTTTTGCCCGTTTTTTGCCCATATTTCAGACTAATTGAGGGGAGTGTTACCATTATCCAAATTAATTTTTCTTTCTTTTTTTTTGTTATTTTATCTTTTTGAAGAAAATAAAAATATAATGTTAAGCTTAATTTGTTTTTTTATTTGAACAATGAAGATCAAAAAATTCAAAAACATTGATTTATTTTACTATATTTCACTACCTTTTACTACCTTTGTCCTATGTACCATTTTAATGTGTTTTCTGTTATATTTTAAATACGCGTATAATTGTTTCATTTTGTGAACAATTATATTTTACTTTGTGTATGCAATTTGATTTTTAACTTATTTTATATTTTTGGTTACCATTTATCTTTTTAGTAACTAATTAACTTAAAAAAAAGTAATTTTATAGTAAAATGCCACCAAAAAAGAAGTTGAAGCTTACTCGAAATAAGGCTGAAGTATTTCTAGTAAAGAAAGTTAGAGAAAATCTTTCATGTTATAAACTTCCTACTGGCATAGAGGTTTTGCAATACTACCTATATCTAAGAAACTTGAATCCCAAAGTAAAGAAAATGGTTTTAATTAGGTGTCATTTCGAAATTAATTCATTTGAGCTTAGATGCCCTCCACAAGCTGACTGTTGTGTAATATCTAAATTGGTAAGGCCATGGAATCTTGCAGGGTTCCCTATCATAACTTTGGAAAATATCAGGTAAATTATGAATTCAAAATTTATCATTAAATTTATTTTTATCTTTATTTTAAACATTGAATAAATTTTGCATTTTAAAGAAAGAAGATTGATAAAATGGTGAACAACTATTACAAGTTAAAGAAGAATAGCAAAAGGAACAGCCCAACAGATACGAAAAGGAATGAGGCATTTTTTGAAGAAATGTTAAAATGCTTTTGGATTAGTAAAAAAAAAGAAGAACTAATTGAAGATATTATAAAAGACAGGAGAAGGACATCCGAAGCCAAAAATGAAGATATTGTGTTTATCTTAGACCAAATTGGAAATAGGATAGGAAGAATAGGAACAGATGATAAAAGGTTTACGTACACTATTAAGAGATCCCACAAAAAATTGTGTGCCATGTTAAACATGGAGATTAAAGTTAACAATGGTAACAATCTATACAGTTTAGAAAACTCTTCAAGTAGTGATAATAATTCTGACTGTGAATATGTAGCAGATATAAAAAAAGAACAATCTACCTCTGTTGTTTTGTTACCAAAAAATATTTAAAAAAAACAGCTCTCAAAGCAATAGGTGAAGGACTTTCAGTTAGACAACACACTGCAATAGTGGCAAGTGTTATTGCTAATTCAGGAGGTGATGTTACTAATTTTGCAATATCTTCTTCAACCGCGTTTAGAGTTGCAGAAGAAGTTGTAACTAAAGAGGGAGAAAAGATTAAAAAGCACGTTACTGATCTTGTTAAATCTTCATCATTACCAATTATTCTCCATTTTGATGGAAAAATAGTTAAGGAGTTCACAAGCGGAATAGAACATCAACTTGACAGACTTGCTGTTTCCATCAGGATAGATGGACAGAGTGAGCTTCTTGGGGTTCCTCATTTGAGCTCTAGTACTGGAGAAACACAGAAGAATACAATCATAAAACTTCTTCATCAATTTGATATTTTTGATAAATTACAAGAATGCGTTTTTGATACAACTTCTGTAAATACTGGTATTAAAAAGGGTGTGTGCATTAGATTAGCTGCAGAGCTTGATAGACCACTACTTCTCCTAGCATGTAGGCATCACATCTATGAAAGGCATATTATTCACTGCTGGAACATTTATCCAAGCAGTAAAATAAATGGTCCAGATAATCCATTGTTTAAGAAGCTTAAAGATGTATGGAACTCAATTGATCAAAATTCCATTGTGTTAAACAAAGTAAAAATTGAAGATATTTCTGATAGCTGGCTGCAGGTACAGTTCAAAGAAGCCTTATCTTTTTCTCAAAATATTATCAGAATGAAAACAATGAAAAAGGTATTTAAAATTTTGAATAAAGTGAATACTCTATAAAATAAGTTTAGTAAGGTACTGTTTTGTGTCTAAATAAATAATCTTATTTAGGATGGATGTAGGTCTGATTATCTAGAGTTGGTGGAATTGACAACAATGGTTTTATCTGGTGATGAACAGTACAGGCTAAGAAAACCTGGGCCTGTACACCATGCCAGATTTATGGCAAAGGGAATATACTTTCTGAAAATGTATCTCCTTCTAAACAACATTTCTAGCTTGACAGATTTTGAGAAGAAAGAAATAAATGATATGGCATTCTTCACAGCTGTATTTTACACTGAGTGGTTTATATAGGCTGAAATTCCGGCTGTCGCTCCATATCAGGTGACATTTCTATGTTTTAAAAGTTTTTAATCATTTTGCTTTTTATTACTTTTTTTTCTTTGAAAATTTTGTGTAATATTTCATAGTCTAAAAATCTTTAGGATATGAAAGCTCTTTGGCAGATGATGAGATACTCAAAAATCAATCCTGTCCAGGCAAAACCTGTTATAGAGTCTCTAAAGAGACACACCTGGTACATAGACCCAAATATTTTAGTTATGTCTCTTGTTGACAAAAATGTACAAGACATTGCCAAGAAGTTGTACTCAACCCCAAGACCTACAACTTATGCCATAGAAAGACATCAAGTTAATTTAAATATACTGAACTCCCTTATGTTTAATGATGATACTCCCCCAAGTTTGACCCCGCTTATAACTGATCAGAGTTGGTTAATTTTTCATATCTTAAACCATGCAAATGCTGAAGTACAGTGGCTTAAGACTCCATCTGAGACATGGGATCTAAGTAATAGTCATTACTTAGAATTCAAACAATTTGTGAATAATCTTGAAGTAGTAAATGACTGTAGTGAGAGGGCTATAAAACTAGTTCAGGTAACTATTTTATATGTTTGGTCCTTAATGTTTATGTTAAAATCTTAATTTATTTTACAAGCTCATTACTTTTAAATATTCTTTAATAGGAGTTGATCAATAAATCGCATAATGAGGATAAAAGACAAAGTACCTTCCTCGTATCAAACAAATATAAGAGTAAAAGAACAATTAAAAAAAAATGTGATTATGTAAAGAATTCTTTGTTTACAAAATAAATTTATAAACATGAACTATGTTTGACAACTAATTTCTTCAGAAACTAATCATAAATATGATTTTATTATGTAAATATAAATATTTTAATACGTAAAGTATCTTGTTAATAAGCAGAACACTAATATAGTGCAAAAAAGCTTAAAAATGCCTTTTTTTTAATTTTTTGGTCTTCATTGTTTAAGTAAAAAAAAAAAAAAATTAAGCTTAACATTATATTTTTATTTCCTTCAAAAATATAAAATAACAAAAAAAAAGAAAGAAAAATTAATTTGGATAATGGTAACACTCCCCTCAGCTAGTCCGAAATATGGGCAAAAAACGGGCAAAAAATGACCTTTGGGCTCATTGAGGGAAGTCATGGAGTGATCTAATCATAAAAAAAAAAAAAAATTATTAGTAATATCAAGGTTGGGGCACCTTATGAAAAGCAATGTTAGTTGAAATTCAAAAAAGTCATTTTTTTGGAACACCCTAATATATATATATATATATATATATATATATATATATATATATATATATATATATATATATATATATATATATATATATATATATATATATATATATATATATATATATATTAATACATATACACATACATACATGTAAATATATATATATATATATATATATATATATATATATATATATATATATATATATATATATATATATATACATATATATATATATATATACATATATATATATACATATATATATATATATATATATATATATATATATATATATATATATATATATATATATATATATATATATATATATATACATACATACATATAAATATTACTAAAAGCAACCATTTAGAATATTTTTTCTGAGAGCAATTTTTTCAGAACGTTCGTTGAATGCCTTAAGAACATCATACGAGAATGAGATGTTTATAGGGCGTTATAAAATACAGATATCTGAGCAAAATGAAGTGAAGGTAAATCAAAATGATTTATTGATAATTCAAATTCAATGCTCTCAGCAAGCTCACATTTGATTAAAATCAATGTCGATTCAAAAAGACATTTGTTTAAAGTTAATCAAATATAATTTTTGATTTTAAGTCTACTGAAAATTCGTTCATCATAAGATGTAAAAGGAAGAGTCAAGTCAATTTTGTAGAATATATACAGGTTCGATTACGAGACAAGATGCATCAAACTTGGTCTCACCTCTCTATTAAATAGGCGTTTACGCGGCGACCTCTTTCAAAAATATAAATTCGAAAACAGTATCGACTCAATTAGCTGGCATATAGATCTATCTAACATCCCACCTAGCTACGGTCATCGCAAGCGCTTTCATCGTGAAATGGACAACAACTGCCTCGTTCGCTATAATTCCTTCAACAACCGCACCGCTCACCCATGGAACGCATTACCTAACGTAGTAGTCAGTGCTACCAGTGTTGATCGCTTCAAAGCAAAATTCGATCAGCTTTAATAATTACTAAAGTGCATCATCTTCCGTGCAATTTTGCGCGAGCTAGCACGGCTAGCTGTTGATGGGCTTACGGAACACGCCTGCTCCGTATAATTTAGCTTTTAACTTAACTTAACTTAAGAAGACATGATGTCGTCTATTTCTCTATTAAAAACTTTTCATTTATAGATCAGTCTTTTTTTTTATAGATATATTTATAGTTAGTTCACCATCCATTTATGGATCAGTAGTCATTGCTGGAGATACATACACATCTTTAAAAGTAGGTCTGACGCAATTAGATTTTAGAAGGAGGAAGGAGGGGGGGGGGGTACCATACAGTATTTTGCCGAAAACATTTTTAACACATAAAAAAAAGTCTTGATTCACTATGTGAAAATTAGTTATAACTTTTGTTTTTCTTCTTTTTTCTAATAAAAAAAAAAGTCGTTTACCGCTTGCAAAGTCATTGTAGTTTTATTAACATCTGTTAATGTACAGTCGCAGTAACTTTGATACACCGAACTATGTTAAAAATCAACTGGCTGTGTACATTATGGTTAAAAGAGATATTTTCTTTTAAAAAAAACGTCTCCATTTTGTTTTCTGCTTTCCACGCCCCAACGCTTCTACACTGAATCCGACACTAAATAAAACATATTTTATTTCAAATGCGTTTTATGTTTTTAATGTTATAAAGAGTATAAAATTATTAGCAGTTTTAAAGACCGAAAAATGCTGGATCTACCCCTTGTTTTATACAGTCTTTTATAAACGTGTTTTATCGTCAGTATGAACGGGGTATAACATTAGAGCAACTGTAAACTTTATATCTTATTTAAAAAAAATCCCAATTCTCTGTAACACACCCTCATCATTACCTCCGTAATATCTCCATAACTCTTAAGAAAATTCTTTAAAATTTAAACTAAAAAAATTAGCTCTAAATACAAACATTTATTTTGAAAACTTCAAATTTCTAATCAGATAAAAATAAAAAAATTGTTACATTAAAAGAAATTATTTTATGCAAGTGTGAACGTATATATACGCATTTGTATATAATGAGTTTTATTAATAAGTATAAATACAGATGTTATTTTTGTTTCGTGCTTTTTAACACGACTATATATATATATATATATATATATATATATATATAGAAAAATTCGACATAAATTGAAGATATTAATAATATCTTCAATTTATGACGATTCGAATTTTTCGTTATTATTCATAATATTATTATGAATATTGAATTAAATTTTAAATCTTAGGCGCACTATTATTCCTATTCTATATAAATGATTTATACAGTAGCTTTCATAAATTTAGACGCATTCATTTTTTTTTTCATATATGTAAGAAAATACTCAAAATAAAAATAAAATAAAAGTGCTACCGCTATGTTTGATATATAATTTAAAAGAGGAAACGAAACTCTATTATAGAGTACTTTAATTTTTTTTACAGGATGTTTATTACTCATTTTATACCGATTAACACAAAAAAGTTAATTGATAAACTTGATTTTATTTTGTTCATAAATTTAGACGCACAATTAAAAAAGTCTTATATCTTGTTAATTGATAGTTAATTAGTAGTTTTTTTCTTATATTTCTCATTAATAGGCCTAAATTAATTGATTTTGTCAAAAAACCTTATATAAATATGACTTACCTGGAATTATTTAATCATTATTTAATAAATAAACAAAAGTTAAGTTAGTTTTGCACTAAAAAAACGTAAAAAATGGGCAAAAGACGTATTACTCAAGGTGAAAGATGGCAAATTATTGCGCACATCAAAGAAGGAACCAAAAGTAATAGAGAAATCGCCAAGTTAATTGGAGTTTCTGAGAAATGCGTTCGGACAACGAAACAAAACTTTCTTCACACTGGTGGTGCCAGCGAGAAAACGAGGCCAGGTAGACCCTTGTCAACCACGAGAAAGGACGATAGTGTTCTTTTTAGAGCTGTCAGAGCTAATCCAAGAATTAGTTAAAAAGAATTGACCACAGAATTCAATACAACGCGAAATACATCTATTTCTCAAAGCACAGTCCGCCAAATACTTATCAAATACAAGATTGGAGTCTACACTGCTTTGAAGAAACCGCTTCTGCGTCCATATGATAAACAAAGGAGACTAAAATGGTGTCGTCAAAGAAGGTATTGGACAATAGATCAATGGGAAAACATTATGTGGAGTGATGAGAGTAACTTTGAGCTTATCAATCGCAAATCTAACATAACAGTCAAAAGAATGGCTCACGAAAAGTATTACGCCAGGTACATTAGACCAACTGTACAAAGTGGAGGAGGCTCGATAGGAATCTGGTCATGCTTTAATTACAAAGGTGTTGGTATGTGCCAAACATACACCGGAAGAATCAACTCTAGAATATACGTAGAAGTACTGGAAAACAACCTAATTCCATCAATTGACCTGCTTATGCTCAATAATAAACCATGGAAACTTCAACAAGATAGCGCTACTGCACATACTGCATACTATACAAAGGAGTGGTTCAACGATAATAATATTATGACAATACCGTGGCCTCCATATTCACCTGATTTGAACCTGATTGAAAACATTTGGGCTTGGATTGATCGTGAATTAGCAAAGGTTCAAATTTCCACACTTGGTCAGCTGAAGGAATTCCTTAAGGAGACCTGGTATGGGGTCCCAGAAGGATGTGCAAAAATCTTGTTGAGTCTATGCCTAGAAGAGTTCTTAGTTGTATTAAAGCGAAAGGCGGATACACAAAATATTGATTGGTTCATAAATTACGCCTTCTAATGTATCGTGCGTCTAAATTTATGAATAATTTTTTTTTGTCTAATTTTTTTAATACCATGTAGTTGTACCTAATTATTATATAGTATTTCATTTTTTTTTTGTAAACTTTTTTTAAATTTTGTATTCTGTATGTATTTATCTGATAAATAGAAAAAAAACTAAACCGAAATCTTTTTTCGTCATTGTTTTATCGTTAAAATACCTAAAATTTTCTATTCTCAAATATGAGTGCGTCTAAATTTATGAAAACCACTGTATTTAGTATCCAAAACTTTCAATGTTATCTTATTTGCTGATGATTCGAATTTTTTTTTATTCAAATAGTAATGTAAAAGATCTGTTTAGAATATCAAACGAAGAATTATTAAAAATAAATGACTGAATTTCAATTAATAAACTTTCATTAAATGTTGAGAAAACTAAGTTTATCTTATTCCACAAACTTAGGAGGGGAGATTTTCTTTAAAATTACCTTATCTCTTTATGAATAAAACACCTATTAAAAGAGAGTCGACGGTTAACTTGCTAGGTGTGATTATAGATGAAAATATATCATGGAAATATCATAATAAATATATTGTAAACAAAATCTCCAAAAATATCTCAATGTTATATAAAGTTAAACCATTTCTTAATATTGAGTCTTTGAAAATTATATATTTTTCATTTATTCATAGTTATCTTTTCTATTGCAATATTCAATGGGGAAGTACTTATTATTGAAGCTTAAAAAAATCTTTAGCAAACAAAAACATGCAAGTAGAATTATATTTGGTGTTAACTGAACTGTTAATGGTGAATTTCTTTTAATGGAACTTAATGTACTCAATGTTTATAAACTTAGTATATACCAAGTTATGCTTCTAATGTTTAAGATAAAACATGTTTTATCTCCTAATATATTTCACTCTTACTTCACCGAAATTACTCATAAATACCCCACAAAGTTTTTTTCCAAGATCTGATTTAAAATTCAGCTTGTTTCAAATTCAATACCGTGGACCATTTATATGGAAAAAATTTTTAAAAAATATTATTAAAAATAAAGCGCTTTTAAATTTCTCAATAGAACAATTCAAAAGAAAATTTAAACGATTTCTATTAGAAAATTACTTCGATTATGATTTTTTCTTTTAAAAGTACCTATTTAAGTACCAACTGTCTCTAATGAGTTCCCATGGCTGCATGACTAAAACTTTTTTTATGTTGTTTATATATATATATATATATATATATATATATATATATATATATACAGTACCTACTCAAATAATAGAACAAAATCGTAAGATACCATCAATAAAACTAAAAATTGTTTTATAAGATAGTATAAGACTGTCTGACAGACTAGTTTGATTCAACAGATACAAGAGTGGTTTCCTAATGGTAAAAAAAGTTGTTTTCATGCAAAATAGTACTCTTTACTTTACTGCAAAATCCATAAAGACTTTTCTTGCTAATAAGACTAATAAGCTAATTGGTTGACCTGGCAATTCTCCAGATATGAACCCTATCGTAATTCTGTGGGTGGTTGTAACATGCAAAGTGCTGATTTTGCATTTAACAAGTAAACAGAAACTCACAAAACGACTAATCGAAGTATGGCATTGAGATCCAGATGTTAAAGCATTGACCTCAAAGTGAGGTAATAGTATGCCAAGGCGTATCAAAGCTCTTTCAAAAGGAGTCGAAAGGAATCATCACCAAGTATTGTGTATAAGTGTTGCATCACCAAGTTTCATAATATTCTTTTTATATATCAATATATAGATTATATATAAAAAAATAAGTTGTGGTTGCTTTTAGTGAGTTTTAGACACACCAAAAAGACAAAAAAATAAAAATTGAGTTTGAATCAAATAATTTGAGTAGGTACTGTATATATGTGTGTGTGTGTGTGTGTGGGTGGGTGGGTGTGTGTGTGTGTGTGTGTGTGTGTGTGTGTGTGAAAATTCTTCTTAAACAACTGAAATTTTACGGAATTAATGGCAAATTAATAAAATGGTATAAAGGTTACTTGAAAAATAGAAAACAATTTGTTTTTTATGGAGATTATTTTCATAATGAAAAACTAATTGACATAAAATGTGGTGTTCCACAGGGTTCTATTCTAGGCCCACTTTTGCTTTTAGTTTATATAAATGATTTAAATAAAGCTTCTAACCTTATAAGTATCATATTTTCGGACGATACTAATTTATTTCAGTCAAACAGTAACATTTATGAGCTTCTTTCAAATATGAATAAAGAATTCATTCACATCTCCAACTGATTTAAGTGCAACAAGTTAACTTTAAACATTGACAATACAAAATGGATTCTTTTCCACTCTCTTGCAAAAAAGCGTTTTTTACCAAATAAATTACCTAAACTTTTTATTGATAAAATTAAAATAAAAAAGGAGTCGGTCACAAGATTTTTAGGCATTTACATTGATGAAAATATTACATGGAAGTATCATATCGACTTTATTTCTACTAAATTGGCTAAAAGTATTGGAGTTCTATATAAGGTCAGATACTATCTAAGTAAACAAAATTTAATTCACCTATACTACTCATTTATATATAGCTGTATAAGTTATGCAAATATTGTTTGGGGAAGTATCTCTAAAAGTAAGTTACGAAATCTTTATGATCGTCAAAAACACGCAATGCATTTAATATGTTATGAAAATTGTTTTTCTCACTCAAATGTTTTATTTAAAAACGTTAAAGCACTTAACGTTCATGAACTCAATGTCTATAATATTTTATGTTTTATGTTTTGTTCTAAAAGTGAACAACCATTGTCCAATTTCAAAAGTCTTTTTACTTATAAAGCTATAAACAAATATGCTTTACGAAATAATAATTTATTAATTTAACCCTTTTGTCAAACAAAGTTTAATCAATTTTGCATAAACTATCGAGCACCGTATTTATGGAGCAAAATTGTTGTTCCAAATTTTGATTTGTCAATTTCGTTTTCCGCTTTTAATACTAAATTAAAAAAATATATTCTTTCTAATGGCAATATATATAAATATTTTTGAAATATAAAATTCTTTTTTTCACTCTTGATAATTTGTAAAATTATTTTCAGTTTTTGTTTCTTCTATATTGTTAATGGTTATTAGATCAATTGTATTTTTATTTTATTATATATACACTTATGATATATTTTAAATGGTTCTGGCGACAAGATCATTTGGATCTTCTTTCAGATACCAAGTTTATATATTGTTATATTGTTATATTACGATTAATAATTGTAAACTAAAAGGTATATATATATATATATATATATATATATATATATATATATATATATATATATATATAACTTTAATAAAAATATTAATAAAATAAAAATATTAATAATATCTCATAAAATTATTAATGTAAAAATATTAATAATATCTCTTGTTTTTTAAATATATCCTAGAAGAATTTTAGTATTTCTAATTGTATTCAATTAGTAGTGAATCAAAGAAGGGCTGACATCTACATATTTTTTGAAAGACTTTAATGAAAACGGTTCGACTAAACGAATATTTAAATCAAGCGAAGTAAAACAATTGTTCTTGTTTTTAAGAGACTTTAGAAAATTGTTCGAAATAACAAAAATTCGATTTAAATGGTTTTCGATTAACAGCAAGTTAACTGAATAAATTACAAGTTAACTGTATAAATTACAAGTTAACTGTATAAATTACAAGTTACCTGTATAATTATTTTTTGTTGTAGCTTTTTAACGTCTGATGACGATTTAAACTATTCGAAACAAAATATCAGAAAAGTATAATAAGTATTACTACGCTGCGTAACTAAATAGTACTTTTTTATACCTTGCAATTAAAGTATTAGAAATGCGCTAAAGTTCTATAATATCATCAAATTAACAAGTTGGAATAAGTAAAACTGTCAAACATGAATCGTTAATTGTAAAAAACACAATCAGCGATCGATGGTTGATCGAAATGCCTAATCAATCATCAACTTTTGAAATGCTTGTTTAAAACGTGAATAAAACACTGTTCCACCTACGTACCTTATAGTTGCTTATGAAACTTAATCAATTGTCTGTTAATTATAGAAAACAATAGAATGTTCTTTTAAACTAATTTTGATACTTTCTAAAAAATTGTTTTATAAATCAACTTTATTAATATTAAAATTGGATCATTGTACTGCATCATATAAATATGTTGTAAGTTTGAAATATTTACCTGTTTATTTATCTTCAAATAATGTACCTTTACTTTAGAATACCGAAAATACAATTAAGCTCTTACTTTCTTATTGTAATGGTAAAACAACTATTAGCATAAGTAATCTCCTAATAATTGACTTTTATGAACATGACTTGTTTTTTATAAAAACCCGTAAGGAAAGTTGCTATGAATAAGTGCATACAATAGAACATGAAATAGATTAAGCCAGTTTATAAAGACTTTTCTATATTACTCACCGGAAAAGTATTTTTAAAAGTTACGGGAATTTTTCTCTTTTTTATTAATCTTTCAGATTAATAAATAAGAGAAAAGTTAGTAAGTCAGTTAAGTATTTTTAACAGAACATACTAGTAAGCACAACAACAAAGTTTTATTCTATACTGCTTTTAAACGAGAATGACTTTCTGTCTTTCTTCCTTTATCAAAATGAAAGCTGGTTAAAGCTCTTGTTTTAACAATTATTAAAGGCTAGAACTTTTTAAATGTTTGTTTAAACTATTATCTACTCTGAAAAAGTATCAGAGCGTCTCTCCGTAAATTGATAGAGTAATATTTTACCAAAAACAACATAAATAGCGGAGTATTATATAATAAAAATATATATAATGAGAAATATTAGGACTTATATAATTTATATATTGGGATGATGTTTATATAATATATAAACATCATCCCAAAATCGTTTAACCGTGGAAAGTGTGTTTTTTATACTACGTTGAATAAATTAAAACTTGTATATTAAATTAATCAACGTCTAATTTGAGAGTTTTTAAAGCTTGCTTAGAAATTGAGAAAGTTGCTCAACCATGCTAGTTTTTACAATAATTAGTCCTTGTATTAGATAGACATAATTATTATTACCTTTATAATGTTAAACATTAGTATGTATTCGTATAGAATATCATAATAAAACAATCCTTATATTTACTAATAAAATAATTATTTTGTTATATAACAACTTTCCATTGCCTAATTTCTCCTTAATTTTAATAGTGTTTTTTTAACGTATTAACCCCTTTATTTAACAGAGTTGCAACATCTCATTATTTGAATGGACAAGTGTATTAACTCCTTTGTTTCAACAGATTATTCGTTACAATAACGTAACAAATTTTTTATTTAACGGAATAATACCAACGGACTTCAATGCCTTAAAATTTTAATCCGTGAATTTATATATACCGTTGGAGCAATAACGACGGTTTGATCTGTTACCTAATCCATTGCATACAACTGATTTTTTTATAGAGTGTAATAATGCAACTCTTACACTCGATCTCTTTAAATGGAACAGAATGCATAATGTTCTATTTAAAGAGAGTGAACTCTGAGGTTTTATGAATTTTTTTCTCAAAAATTTAGTTTTTTATTTTTCAAGTTTTTTCATTTTTTCAAGTTTTTTGCATTATGGAATAACGGATTTTTACTAATATAAATTTTTGGTAAAATTTATACAAAACAATAACAATAACAAAAGTGAAAATAACTTATTTCAAAATATAAACTATAAATAGTTTACATAAGTTGGATTACTTTTAATCTTTATGACTCCTGCAAATAAAACACGTCACGTCGCGAAGAAATAATAGTATATAGGGCATAATATGATATAATATAATATAGCATAATAAATGACATACAATATGATATCCGAATAAAAAAAAGTAAAAAACTGTCTGATTGGCAACCTAGAATAAAATATTATATCTGTTGCGCATTAAAACAATATGTGAATTTAAAAGTAAAGATTTTTTTATCTTATTAAATAACTGATAATTTATATGAAAAAAGAAACTTTTGATAAAACGAGAAACAAAAAGTTTTTAAACCATATTTTTTCAAACTTTTATAGAGTTACACACAAAAATTCATACTTCAAAGTGTAAGTTCTTTCTTTAATCTTTACGAACTTCCGTAGTTTACGTTTAGTTCAACTTTTCTTTGTAGTTATTCGGTAGTATCAATTGAGACGTTTAAAGTTATTTCGCCTTAGAACGTTAATCATGTCGTAGTATATAATAAGTATTTATTATTATTATATAACTTAAGCTTTTCCTCGCGTTCTCCCGCGTGAAAAAGAACCGGAAATGGTCACTGAAAGTGTAATATAATCCAATTTTGTTTAGGCAACTCACTAAATACACAAAAATTGGTTTTAAAAGCAATAAACATATGAAAACTTTATGATATCTTTAAGGAAATCATTAGAAAGCATATTTTTTAATTTTTGGTTTTATTTTTTACAAATTTCGCTTCTTTTTTTTTATTTAAAAACTGCGTTCAATGAATTGAATTTTTGGTGAATGTCAAGTCTTAATTCATTCGTTCTTTATTTTTAATCTAATTCAAAACGTTTCCAACTTAGTTAGGGTGGATTAGTCTAACTTTGATAAACATTCCAAAAGTTTTTTAACGGAATAAATGAAAGACTTTGTTCTCTATAACAATATGAAAAAAAAAAGTTTTATATAATATTTATTTTTTAAATTAATATTACAAAAATCACTTTTTGACCGAATTTATATTTTTTTTTAACTAAAGTATCGTTGTAATAAATAAGAAAGCAATAAAAATAGAGGAGAAAACCAATTCAAATACGAAAACTAAATACTCAATATTGAAACAAGTCTATTCTTTTTAGAGCACAAAGTTAGTGAGATCTTAATATGAACTATGAATATTATTATATACATATTCATTTAGGTTGCAAAACCAAAATCAACACGAATTGTTTTCCCATTGAACCAATGAATCATGGAAATGGTTTTCAGTGGCGGATTTTAAGGAAGGGGGGTGGGCATGGTATAGTAGCTCTTTCCCTGGGGACTATTTTTCAGAAATATTTTTTTTGTAAATTGACTATTATACAGAATTGGACTACTATACTAACGAATAAAATTGATTATTATATGTAATTATACGTATATGAACTTGGTTATTACACAAAAGGTATAAAATATTTAAAAAGAAAGTTATTGATTAATAAAAATATGCGGTCCATTTTTTTTTATTTGAAGTTTTTTAGCCCCCTCCTTAGCGAGTGAAAAAACCCGCCCCTGATGGGCACTTTATATATTAAATTACTTTTTGCTGTTTATTTAGTATGCTTGCATCGTCTGGGTAGTCTATGTTACGTTTTGTAGCAATTTTTTTTTATTTTTTATCCATTGCTCTAACTTTCTCTGTTATTTCGGCCTCAGTTAAAGCTTTCCCTTTAATTTTTAAATTGTTTCTTTTAGATTTGCGGATATGTTTATCAGAGTCATAATTAAATTACAGATTCTAAAACAATTGAAAATTTTAATAGCTCTGAAAAGCGTTGCTGCCTTCTCTTTAATGAGATGTATATTAAACCAAGTGTTAGTTTCAGAGGAGGACACCTCATTGGATATAGTGAGGACAATCCCACTAAAATTGCAAAAACGTTATTAGTCTTTATGATTAAACCTATGTTTGGTTAACCTTCTTTTGTTTGTAGAATTGTACCAATATTTAAACTGTCAGTGCACTTTCTTCACGATTTGATTATAAACATAAATAAGCAAATAATTGATGCAGGAGGAGAATTACTGTGTCTTTTATCAGATAACCATCCCACAAATCGAAGTGTTTGCCAAAGTTTCGTTGTTAATAAAAGTTTTCCATGGCAAGGTGTTATAGAAAAAGAAAAACCAGTTATTATGCTACACGTTCCAGTTCACTTGTTTAAAAGTATAAGAAATAATTGGTTTACGGAAAAAACACAAACAATTAGTTTAAAAATTAATAATCAACCTCTCTCTGGTGATTGGTCTCACATTGTTCAATTATATAACAGACAGAAAATTTGTGTTGCCAAAAATACAAAGCTTTCATGCAATTCAGTGTACCCTAGTTTGATTGATAGACAAAATGTTGCAAACATGGTTGCTGTATTTAATGAAAAAACTGTTGCAGCATTGAGATTAGCTAATTTTGAGAACACTGCCTGTTTTTTAGCACCAATTGTTTCATTATGGAACATGCTAAATGTAAAGAGGAAAGGTTGTGATGTTTTACTTAATGATATCAATAGGTCTCCTTTCCAGACACTCGATGACCTTAGATTTAAAGAAATTTTAGCATTTGCTGATGCAACTTCTAAGATGTTAGAGGGAAAGGGATTAAAGCGTCATAATACTTTTACACCAGAAACAAAACAAGCTTTAGTTAACACCCTACAAGGATTGGTAGAATTAATAAAAAAACTACTTTCAGAAGATCAACAATATGTTCTTCCAGGTATTTTTCAAAGAAATCGTCTTGAAGGTGAATTTGGCATCTACAGGTAAAATTATTTTTGTGTTACTTATAGTTAAGAAAATTTTGTAGATTTGAAATCTAAAAAACAAATATTTCTCTAACTTATTTAAATGTATTATTTTTTAACATACATAAGTTTAACGATGCGTTTTTATTTGACAATTGCTGTTTTAACTATAATATAATACTCTGTTCAACTCAATTTATTTGGTTATATCTTTTTGCAATTTTTTTGCTTATTTGTAGACAACTAAGTGGCAGAAATTATTTATCTCAGCAGAACAAGTATTGAACAGTTTGCACCTTCAGCGGTTGAAATTATTCAGCAAAATAGTTTGTTTGGATGAAACTGACATTCATTGCTCATACATTCATTGCTCATACATTCAGACTGTTGCACTATGGATCTAATGGAAGAGGATATTATTTATTTAGATGAATGTTTAATTAATGCAGACAATAAATCTATTAATGATCAGAAAAATGCTGCCCTTTTTTATATGACTGGTTATGTACAGCACAAGATCGATCCGCAGCGTGTAGTTGATACAACAACATCACAATCAGCTAGTTCTGAATTTACAGATTATGTTTCACGTGTTAAATTGTGTTATCCTGGTGATACTCTTCTCCAGTTTATTTGTGTTTGTTATCTACTGTTTAACAGCATTCCAATGTCTGAAAAACGTTTTCAATGTGTTGTTTATGCAAAGAAATTATTTTTATTCTTGCATTCAACATTACCATTTGATTTAGAAACAGACAGTATAGGTGTTGCAAAAGTTATCTCAATAATAACTAACTGTTTCTTGAAAGGTGTTACGACCCTTGATAATACATCTGATATTGTTTCATTAAACATTGAGGACAGAAAAAGAAAGAAACTTAATACTTAGTGGTCTGATTATTTAGTTGACGTTGGTAATATAATTAACAACGTTTAGAAATGTATTTATGGCTTTATATTTATATGGTTTAAAATTTATTTATAATTGTATATTTATTATTATGATATGAATATAATATAGTATGATAAGTAGTGATTAATTAGTTTATTAACATTGTTTTTAAAAATAATTATTTACAGCTAATTTACGGATAATTTACAGTTTGCTTGTAAAAAGTTGTTTTATTTTTAACACTTCATCAACACAATTTAATTTTTGTTTGAAAATAGTGATAAATAATTGAGCAATAACATTTTTTTATTAAATTTCTATTCATAATTATATTTTTGTTTCATAATAGAAGTGTTTCGCTTTTTTTTTCATCGGCCCTGTCGTCAAAACTACATGAAATTAGAGTTTCGCGTCCCGTTGTTTTAGTAGTCCCTGCTAATAAGTTCGGAATGCGTTTTTTTTCCTCCAACAAGTCTAGGGTCAGGAATCCCTCCCCTTCCTTTGCCTTTTCAGAGCAGGCTTAACACTTGTAGTAAAGGATTTTTTTGAGTCGCTAAAATCTTAAATTTTGCTTTTTTTTATTAGATAAACCACTGTTTTAGTTAACAATTTGAAATGTTTATAAGTTAGTTAAGTGGTCATGATCTCCTAGATGTCCATTTGAGAAGTGTTTAGAACAATCATGTTTAGGGGTCATCCATGTATTACGTACGCAGCAAGAGGTTAGGTGTCCTAAGTTGTGTAATTTGTGTACGTTGGGGGTGGATGGGTGATGTTCAACAAGTGTATGTACGTAAATTAAAAAAATTGAAATGACAGTTCACGTTCACTTGCCAATTAGTCAAAGGTGACCGCCGCCCAAGTTCATGGCCTGCTAAAGTTATAAAAGTTAAACAGCGCAAAAAAATAGTGATCACGTTTGCAAGCGTGAATGAAAAAAACAGCACAAAATTAATTCTAAATAATTTAATATTAATGTTAAGTTATTTCTAGAATTTAAACTTACTAATGCTTCAAGTTTTAATAAGATTAAAACCATGGGGGGAAGGAAGGGGTATGAAAATGTCATTATGTCAAATGATGTCATTATGTCATTATGTCAAATGCGATGTTGAATCTTGGGAACAAAAAAGACCTAAAGTATTGGTCTCCTGGCCTAAACTTAAAAGCAAAAAGTTGCACTTTCCTAGCCCCTTTCTTTTTCAGTACTAATAATTATATGTAACGAAATAAGAAAAAATTTACTTCGCGTTGAATTACTTTCCTAACAATATATCATGCTTACAAGTCTATAGGGAATATATTTTTTTATTATGCCATATTTCCCACTTTAAACTTTAACCATAGAGGCCCGTAACTTGAAATATTTTTGTGAAGACGGGAAGGGGGAGGGGGAATTTTTGAAAAAAAAGCACTTTATAATAGCAAATAAATATATTACTTGATTTTTATAACATAATTTATGCGATACAGAGGACAAATGTTAGAAGGAGATGGCAATTGCTGCAAAAAGGGATACCAACCTCCCCGCACGTTCGACTTCGAAATGCCGGGATTGGTATTGGACAATCCTGGGATTTCGGGAATATAAAAAAAATCACAGCTATACAATATCGACACAACTATTTTTTCGCTAAAACCACTGTTTCATTTGATCCTTTAGAGTGTATGTAAACTAGTTTACTTATAATATATATGGAATGTGTTATAAATAAAAAAACTTTTAAATATATGTATATAAATAAAAATTTTTGCAAAAAAATCATGCTGCAACCTAATTTTTTGTATTTTTTGATAATTTCTATAATTTTATAAATAAAATTTTGAAGTTTGAAATTTTTAGAAGGGGGAAGGAGGGGGAGGGGTAATTACCTCCTTAGCCACTCCCCTTTTGAAGTTGGGAGGAGGGGGAGCTGAAACGCAAATTAAGGGGAGCTGAAGCAGCCGGAATCAAAATTTGAATAGAAAAAAACCGAAATTTCCAGAAATGTAGCCATATTTTTTTTTCTTATCAAATAAAAAACAAACTGCCATATATTGTCACAGAGGAAACCTTTATGAAGCCTGTACTAAATGCTACTGAGGCAGTTCAAGAACTTTATGATACATATCAAAGAATCTTTTCACTAACTAAGTTAAATACAGTAATCAATTATCTTATTAGATAGTTGGTTATCTGAAGAGGACAGTATTAAACAATAGCCAATGGTTGATTATAAGTTAAATAATCAATTGTAGGCAGTTTACATAACAAATTTAATCCAATATCTAATTGTTCGACAAAGCTTAGTGTTGAATAAAAATTGTGCTCAAATAACATTTATAGTAATAGTCTATAAATTTACACTTGATTTCTTTCCATTTGTTATTGTCAAATTTTATATGTTCAATAAAATTTCCATGAGATGTCCACACCATAGGCATTGCATATAATAGACATGATTTTTGTTTAAAGAAATACCAACATAATTTTTAATCAAATATGGAAGTTTTAGACTCTAATCAAGTGGAGACAAGTAATTTATAAAAAATGGGCATTTAACTTTAAGACATGCAGGTGGACAACACAAACAAGTATTAACACGATCAGGATTACCGCCAATAAAAAGAATATCTCTATCTAAAAATAACCCACAATCATGCATTACTACACCTTTATGATTGATTTTAAAAACTTCATAAAAACAGTTAACAGCATTCTGTTCCATTTCCCTGCCATACTTAATTGAAGGTATTTTTGAATTAACAAATGACATACCAGATATACGTTGATTTAATTCCCACATATCGGCATCAAGTTTATTTAATTTGTTCATTTTTGTCCAAACATCAAAACTTTTTGAAGCTGTTATTGTTGAACCTTTTCTATATTTGTTTTTAATTTGTCAGAATATCTCACTTTCTATATTTGTTTTTGTTTACCATTTGTTTTTATTTTGTCCTTTGATCAACTGCTCAATTTCTTCAATATTTTTAAGCGTCATATGAAGTGTTATATTTTTTTCAAATGATAATATATCTTTTGAAATTACCAGTATATCATTAACACTCATTAGGTTTGATTGGTAAGTACTAATGTTGCTTACTACTTCTAAACTAAAGTCAATATCTGGTTTAGGGATAGCATTAAAAATGATGGAATTTCATTTAACGCTTTTGCAACATCCTGAAGATTAAGTTTACTAGAATAATTAGAAATTGGATTAAATTTCTTATACTAGCTGTCTACAAATGGTCTTTTTTTTTTTACAATGTTGAGAAAAATTTTCTCTGCTAAAATCTAGATTTTTAATTTTAACAGGTATAACATCTTTTCGATTTGGAAGCCATTGATTTGAAACCATTGTGCAAACCGGATTTGTTAAGCCCATTCTTACAGCAGCTTCAATTCTAAAAATTGCTGCAACAACATGGTTACATGTTTGGCTCATTCCTGCCAGTGACGAGATCGGATTTTTGCATTTTCTTTTTCTATAATAAACCACAGTTTATGGCAGTCATTAATATAAATGTCTGCATTTACCTTTTATTGCACAAAATCGAGTTTCCTCACTTATAAAGTGATATGAGAGTTTTTGAAGCCAACCTGTTTTATAAAAACTAAAAGCTTTCGAATTTTTATAAACATTTAAGTCATTGCTGCCTAATTCAAATGGGTTAAACATCAAATAATTAAAAATATCTGGATACAAAACAATTGGCCATCCTAATTTTCAATTCGAAAAGTTCGAGTCGACAGAAAAAATTTGCTGACAAGGAATGAAAAATTGGATCGACTAAACAAAGTTCAAATTATCCTAGATTTGACTTAACTGGAGATTTTTTATTAGTAATCAATTAGAGTTTCAAGGGACCAAATGAAACAGTTAAAGATAAAAAAAGTTTGTTTTAACCGGCATTTGACTTACCGGGAATTAATTGTATTACAATATTAAGGACATTTTTATATTGACAAATAACGACCCTCAGAAACAAAGTCTGAAAGCACATTGTAAGTGTAGTTGGACCTGCTTTATCTGCAGAACTTGAGTTACTCTATCATCGTCGTAAAGTTGTACCTCTTTCTTTTTCTACAAATACTCATAGTTGCTACTCAAACAAGCTATCATCCAAAATTTAATCATTGTTGCTTGAGCTTGCCATTCAGCAAAGTTGCATCTTTTTACTGTGTCTGTCCCTTCATCCTATAAATTTTTTTTTATTTTATAGTTATATATTTAAACTAATTTATTTATAACAAAGTTGAAATAAATAATATTAAGGGGTGTCCGAGGTCGCGGCTATGGCCGGGACCCCGGACATCTGTAAAACGCTTTAAAATCTATAAAACTTGATTAATTCATAAAATTAGAATTAGAATTAGTTTATAAAAAAATAACAAGTAGTGAAAAACACAAAAAGATGTAATTTTTGAAAAGTTCTCCTTTTTTAAATTTTTTATCACTTTAAATTGCAATGTCACGTTTTTCTTTCAATGACAATTTTGCAGTGCTGTCAATCAGATAAAAAACTGATGGGATGGAAGTTAGAGGATAGAATGCTAGCTGATTGATCTACTCATTCTGTTGGACTATGGCATTTACAATTGCTGATTTGCTAAGGTGCTCAAAAGACTATAAACCTCGTATTTAAAATCTAGTATTGTTGATGTCGTTTGTGCAGATAGTGAATAAGATGATGAAGATAATGAAGCTAGAAAAAGTTGTTCGTCGTTCAATTATTATTTTTGAACCAACATAGCTCTAATTTAACTGCTAAACCTGTTTCTCCAATATTATTCATCATAAATAATAGTGTTGTATTGGCTGACATTTTTTGTTTCATCTCATTTTGAAATGTATCAGATTCTTAGACATTCAATACAAATGTCTCAATTTGCTTGTCCTAATTTGAATAAGATTATAAATAAATACGTTGTTTAGGTGAAATGAACATTATAGTTTAATAATGTGATTTGTTTTGATCAATTATAGTTTAATAATGTGATTTGTTTTGATTATTGGCAATTTTTCTTAATT